GAGGGAGGAATTTTCTCCACTTCTAACCAGAACAAACCTTTGTTTGTGTTGGAAGGAGAAGCAGAAAAGTGGGCTAAGGGTGAAGACAGATTGTTGAGACATAAAATTAAGTGAACATGTTGCACATGCAGACTACAAAGCAATATTAGGTGCGGGTTAATGAAACATTCAAGATAGATAAGTTCATGGCAGAGACATTTAACACATTTCAACATGTTTTTCTTACAGCACATAGTGAAAGTATCAATGATAATTCTGAGGCAACTTCCAAGTCCGTGATGTTCCACATCCTTGTACCTGGATGTCCAGAACCTCTACTTGAGTGACCAGCCATTCTCTTTAATTTTTCACTGGATAGCCCAAAGGCTTAAAAATGACAGATTGAATCCAGGAGGCAATCAAGGTACTATAAATATCCCTCTCCAACTTCTTCCATGGCTTAGTTCTATAAAAATTAAATTTTATAGACTTAACTTTATGCACGGTACTCAGTCATCATTCTACTTTGTTTTCAAAATTTGGACCAAGCAAGATGTAAAGACATAAACCAAAGTAAGTATATTTACTGAAGAAAGAAATCTCAATTTAAGAATGGAAACCTGAATAAAAAAAAAAAATCTAAACTATAAACACAGAATTATAAATATTTGTATCATTCTGTTCTGTTGGAATATGGCATTAAAAAAAGTTTTTTAAAAAAACAACCACCACTCTCAAAAGACCCCAGGCTTTAGACAGCATTTCTGTAAGTGTGAGAAGAACCATATAGATGCCCCTGTTCTTGCACTAAGTCAAGAATAAGACTCTTGGGCAATTATCTTTATAAAATATAATATGGAGTACAGCAGCATATTTTCTTTGAAAAATATTAGGACACCAAAGGTAACCATAGAAACTGGAAGAATATGTCTTATAGTCTTACCATAAAAACCACCAAACTACAAAATCCCAAATCCTTTCTTTACAATTCTTTACAAAAACTACCTAAGATGAATATGATGGCTTTTGAATCTAAAGGTTAAAAAAAAAAAGACACTTCAGCTCGAGTTATAGAAAATAACACATTATTTAATGTATTTATCCTTTGTCTTTCTTTGAAAGAGTTAAAATAAAAAAACCCTAAAAAACAACAACAACAACAAAAACCCAAACTAATTAATACTCAGACTGGTTTTGGTCTTCATTCATCCCCATAATCAAGAAGAACTGCTTTTCCAAGTAAAACTCAGGTACTGATAAGCACACATAAGCATGGTAACAAGTGCCCGAAAATGGTGACAAAAATGGAACTGCCCAACCAGGCAGCCATACCATGCTAAATCAGTGACTCGCAGGAAATAATTACTTTATTTCAGGGGACGTCTAAACATTATAATTTAAATGAAACAGCAATTGAGGGAATGAAAATCTTTATCTATTAAACAGTGTTAGGGCAACCAATGGGGCAGAGGGCTTGCCTACATTCATTTAACAAGACAAAGCCTTTCTTCTGCAAACAACTCTTTTATGAGAACGAGCATATGCAATCTTTTAATATTTGAAGGTGCTACAGTAGAACATGAGAAAAATAGAGAAGAGTATGAAACTTATCCTAAACAGCTGACTGGTAGAAAAGCATTCTTTAAACTCCTATTATCTTACCACAGATTTGCTGAATGTGCAATCTTTGTGTGACTGCTTGCAAACATCTTTTTCTACTATAGGTGAATCAGGGGAAAAAAAGTTGGTTCACAGAAGATTGGATTCTACTGTTTACTACCCTTTGTTTGCTGATACACTAGGGTTGGTTTTTTTTTTTCATTTTCTGCATAGCCAGACTACTCTGAACTAAATGCACAAGAACAATATATTGATGACTTTCTGTAGCTGCAGTTCCAAAATTGTGCTAACTACTGCAGCCATTTAAGTAGAATTTCTCAGGATATTGTTGCTTGTTAAAAAGGACTGAAGAATAAAAAATGGCTCGGCTCCAAAGATCCTATTGCAACAGACATTGGTACTTCTTCTACATGCATTTTTTTTGTAATACTACTAAAGCCACTGTTTCTCTGTACTCAGTTCTCAGGTACAGAGGTATAACACTCCTCCTGAGAAGAATAACTTCCTTCAAAGAACAATCAGAGAGAGGTGGACAAAAAGTAGGAAGAGAATTACTGATATCAGCAGCCCTCAAAGGAGCAGATTAAGAAGCCTCTCTTCCCATTACCAAAAGGAATTCAGTAAACAGAACCTCAAAGAATCTGCAAGATAACTGCAGACTAACTTCAACAAGTTTGCATTTCCACCCTGGATAATTTTTTTTATAAATGGACACAAAACTAACTCAACAAATATTTGGGGTTGGTTGGCTGGCTGGGTTTTAGGTGGGGTTTCCTCCCGCCCCTTACTTGGGCGGGGGGGGGGTCACAGAAGAGGGGAAAAACACACTTCTTGCACACCGTTTTTAAAAGTGGGGGGGGGGGGGGGTCACAGAAGAGGGGAAAAACACACTTCTTGCACACCGTTTTTAAAATTACACAAATACATCAAGAGAACTTAATCATCAAACCTCCTTTGATTTCAACAAATAAAAAGATCAGACCCTATCATATCGTATACATACAAGAAATAAACCAGTAAATTTTAATTCTTCTATTTAGGTGTGCCCAAGTAGCACAGAAAACTACTACGTTATCAGCTACTAAACCATTCTTTGAAATATAAAATAAACTCACGGTGGTAGAAGCGTTTCTCAAAATTAAATTAACTTAAAAATATATTTATCATTAATATGCAAATTAAATCTTTACATTTGTAGTGAAAACTAAAGATTATGGAAGTACACAACATTAAGCCACTGTACACGCCACAATTTCAATATACAGTAGTTTAGCAATAGCTAAAGAACAAAAGAAAAGAAAAAAACCATATGACTTCTAGCATTGAATATCCAATGGTAGTATCTCCTTTTTAAGGCAATATTAAATTAGCAGAGAAACCACTTGCTTTTATGGTAGCCTGACCCAGAGAAAAATCCCAGAAAGTAACAAGTCTTCAAGTACAGCATATGTACTAACAGAATCCTCACAAATAAAATACAAAAGGAGCTATGCATTCAATATTTAGAAAGTTACCGTAATGCAGTTGAATACAGGCTTACTATCTGGTTTTCTTTACCACAAAGACTTAATTCTGGAAGAGCTATTCCTCAAGAGGGAATCTAGTCTTCCAGTTTCTGCATCAATGAAATAATATTAGTCTGCATAGTGTTGTTCATTTTTTAGTCCATATTAAATGTTAAATACAAACAAGCACAATAATTTACTGGGAACCTCAGTTAATAATATTATATGTTAGTTATTAGAAAAAATATATTTTTATATTCATAATTTTATCAGTCATGTAAATTTTCAAAATTTACCATTTCCTCTGTACTGCAGAAAATAAATGAGGTTAAATCATATTTCTAAGCAAGTACTCAAAAATAATAAAAATAACTTTTGATCTGTGACCTTTTAATGTCACATTTGAAGTACAAGGTTTAAATGCGTGATAAGAGAAGCTTATAATAGAAACACTGTCATGTACTGGCAGACTTCCCAGCTATATCAAGTTGCATAAAACAGAGACGTAACAAAGCAGCAGCATGTTTCTGGCTACCACCTTGGCAATCTGAATCCAACTAACACAACCCACAAGAGAATGATATCCACTTTCTATACACTACATAATAGACAAAGAAAGATTAGGATTATAACTATACAAAGTGTTATCTTACTCATCATTTATAACTAACACAGTTTGTAGCTCTGAAGTCATTCAAAGCACTGGAGATTCTTTGGAGTGCCCCTCACATGCACACCACTGCAAACTGGTTCAGTAATTTTGATTGCATGGGTTTTCTTTAACCATGAAGGGATTAAATAAATGAGTCCCCCCCCAAACACTTGCTTATTTCTGCAAACAAAAATGGAGAAAAATAAACTGATGATAAACTGATGTTTATGGAGTATGAGTTTCAAATAGCAAGCCGTAACATCCTGATTAGGACATGGTTTAGTGGCGGACTTGGCAGTGCTAGGTTAACAGTTGGACTTGATCTTAAAGGTCTTTTCCAACCTAAACGATTCTATGATTCTAATATACTACTGATAACTTTGACTAGTTTAAGACACTCCACTTTGCCCTCTGCTCAAGCTATTATTTACTGTGCTGGGGTTTGTTGTTGTTTTATTTATTTGTTTAACTTGCTAGGTTTGCATGCACAGAATAGGCTTACATTTGAACAAATCAATTAAAGAAAAGTAAACTTTTTAACATCAGGTATGCAAGAAGTATGTATCCAATGCTTGACTGTGAAGCTGAAAATGGTAGTGCTTTAACTGCTAGAAGATGTAGGTAGAAGGGCAAGATGATGACACATGCCTAGTGATCAAAATTGCTTTTTGAAAATACAGTGACCAGAAATACATTCTCCCAAACTACAAGGAACAGAAGCCTAAAACCAGTGTTTCAACATGAAAGGAGAAAAATCCATGTCATGTAGCATTTCTGAAGGGCAAAGAAAATCAACAGACTTGTGGAGAACTCAGAATAGAGGAAAGATATTACAAAAATATGCTAAACAAACAGTCATCTAAGAAGTACAAAGGCCTGCTGGAAGTAATTTTAAAAGGGATCTAGCTTAACATGTTAACATAAACAATGTTTTAACTCTCAAAGTGTCTTAAGCCCTGCGTCTGATAAATTTATTAATAATCACAACCATCTTTTCAACAGTCGATACAGCAGCATCAAACACTTAACTTCAAAAACATCCTGTAAGTAATTAAATGCTTTCTACTTACATTGCTATATTAGAAGAAAAAGAACACAACTTGCTACAAGTTGCATACACAATTCTACAATTTGCATTAGGAAAAAAACCCACCACAATTAAATCAATATTTTGACATCAAACAAAACCCAAACATACTATGACAACTGAATTATATAATTATTCCACCTGTTTTTGTACTTGCCTAGCAATACTTTAGCATCTTCCACATCAAAATCTCCATCTCCATCAGCATCATATATCCCAAGCTTGCCTAGAAATGCAAAGAGAGGAAGAAGAAAGAATTAGGGATTCAGCAGTTTGTTTCCAGCACAGTGCTTTCAATGTGCGATGGTTGACTGTCAAGGCTAGGTTGTTACCATACTTTTTTTGATGATTTAGCCATATTCTTCTTAACCATATTCTAAATTTCCTGGAAAATATTACAAATATTTTAAGTTCTTTTCTGCATTTCCTAGACTTTAGACTGAACACAAGTTAGTCTTTATTCCATACATTTACTTTGGTGCTCGCAGATTTAAAACAAACCTCTAATTAAGTGATGCGCTTTATGTGAACATGCTTTGCTCAGAATAAAATTTAAGTTCACAAGGAACATTCAACATGTTTGAGGAAAAAGAAATAATAAACCAAGAATTAATCAAATAATCACCATTTTTTTTCTGATTATATGCTTCTTGCCATTCTAAATTCTCAGGAAAAAAAAAAAAAAGACAGGTATATAACTTTTAGTGCCAAGTTAATAGAAGGTAAGCAACCTACTTCCTGGACAAAGGAAAAACATTCATAATTTTATCAACAACTGTACAACATTCACTGCAGACAAAAAAATTTTCCATCCTTTTATAGGTGAATATAGGTGAATACATCAGACTTCTCACTTTTATTTTTGAAACTGCAGCTCTACCAGACCTAAGTATAAGCAAAAGGAGAACCCAGTTTCTATTCAAAAAGAATTTTTAGCATAGAATCGTGGTATCCAGGATTAGAAGTGTCCTGGGATCACCAAGTGAGTCGAGAGCTATCTAATTAGTTCTGATAAAATTCAGACATAACTTCTAATAGGATTGAAACTCTGCACACCATTTACAGAAGAACTCTAAGTTCTTATAGTTTGGCAGTTTATTATTACATTTGTCATTCTCTAAATGGAGGCAGAACTTGATTGCCATTAAAATAAATGAAATATAGTTCTTAATATGGTACTTAGAAAATTAGAAAACAGTTTTGTGGAAAAAAATGTTCAGACTTGGGTCTAGAATAGAGAAAAATAAGGCCATCACCATTGTACAGAAGCAATCAATTAGAAAGGATCTTTATAGGTTTATGGTTAAACACAGAGTGGTGGAATAAATGTAATTCTCTAGAAATAAGACGAATTGTATCATCTTCAAACCCATGAAGAATGAGACAGATGAGAAATGACTGAGTTTCATGTCATTATAAAAGAACAGTAAGTCTCTAAAAAATTAAAAACAAAAAAGTAAATGAAAATTTTTAGCCAAAGGACTGTAAAGGAATCTTATTTCTCTAATATCCTACCTTGTAGGACCTCTGACAAGTTATAACGGAAATCCTTTGCTTTGGCTGCATGCATGGTAAAAATATAGAAACCATTATTTGCATCACTAGACCCAATTAAGTTTCAAACTAGAAGCTTCTCTTAAAATTTGTCCAGATCAAAAAAAGCATGTACCAACAGACTTTAACAGCTGTAAAGCTTGCAAAAGTGCATGTTGAAGCCTACAAGATCAGGGACAATAGCTCTACCTATGGATATATATCTTGAAATTTGAGACATTAGTTTTCACCCTTAGCTATTATATTAACAATACTATCTTAACATTGTTATATTGAGATACACTTATCACCATTATAAACTTAAAATTGAGGTCGTGCAACAGCTTATTCACGAGAGGATGACTGATCCGTTGTCCTGAGTCTATAGGCAACACGGTCCATCAGAGGAGTGGCAACATCAGCTGCCCACTCTCAAACACTGCTGCAAGTTTCTGAGAGCTTAAGCTGAAACAATGCATATTCAGCTGATGTTTCAAATGTCAGCTACATATTACGTATATGTTATATTATATATATAACAGCATACATGTTACAAAGAGATACAGATCTATCCTTGCATATTTCTTCAATTCTTTAATAAATGCAGTATGCTAATAACCTTTTCCGGTCTTATGAGAATCCCATTTTAACATCATAATAGAGTTCAGCATGAAAACGTACTTTTTGAACTACATTGCCTATTCTTATCATGTAGGTCATTTGCAAACACCACAGTAGTCAATTCAGCTATCTAGAAATTTAAAATGGCCTCCATTTAATGTATATCATAATAATTATTAGATGCGTCTTAAGATTTAAATTTCTTACCTAGAACTTCTTCATAATCTACAAGTTCAAACCAGACAACTGCTACTGATGTCCAAACTCCCAGCAAAGCAATTACCATAAACCAGGTGAAAAATGAGCTTCCAGAGAGGCCTTCTTTCTTTCCATTCTTGCTTCCTCCATGCTTAGTCTCTGTTACAAGTAAGGCAAACAAGTAGGAACAATGAATTTGTGTAAGAGTTAGAAAATTACAATTGAGGATATAATTATAAATCTTGTTTCTTATGACTACACAGAATACAAGACATTTGACTAACACTTTTTTTTTTTTAAAAACTTCATCACTGTTACTTGGTTTTCATATCACTGTGTATTACAGTGGGAAGCTTGATGATTATGTAAGTAAAAGTCCTATAACCAACCAAACACCAAAAACCCACATGTAATTTGTCTTAACAACTTAGTTGGAAATCCCCCCTTCCTCCCCTTTAGTGTATATTTATACAGAGCTTAACATTTTTGAGATGCCTTGCATTTGTGCCAACAGTTCTCAAACTGCCACCAGAGGGCAATATGACCAGCAGAAACAGTTTGGAAGAAAAGCGTTTCTTCTGTAGCAAGTTTCTAAGCTAGTTGAATTAGCTCACAGAATCAACATGAAAATTCAGATAGCCTAAGAAGCCTAAACCCTAAACCATATTAAGGGTAAGACTCCAAGTTCAGACAGTCTACCAACTGAAAATATCTTCCCTGTTGCTTAGAATCAAGCAGAAATTCACTGCATACTGAATACCTTTAGACTTCCAGTCCCATGGAACATACAAGTAAAAGGACAACATAGAGACTTAATGCAAAACACAGCTTCCTTTCCAACCGCACATATGGAAAGTAAGTGTATATAAAAAATACAGTAGTTGTAAACAAACCGACGGGAAAAGAAAGACCTCAACCTAGCATATGGGTAGGGGGGGTTCAAATGGGCATCACCACTAGAAAAGACATAAATTGCTTGGTCCATTGCTTTTAAAGAAGGATACATGTAGTAAATAAATGTGATCCAAAAAGATGACAGTGGCCTTTCTCCAAAGCTCAAGGTCTGCTCTTCTGCCTCCTGATACCACTGCTGCAAGGCTGGCACTTAGCCGCAGTTTCATGTCTGCCAACCTACTCCCCTTCATTCCCTTCTAAGCACCAGCCTTTGCCCGTTCAGCCACAGTCAGTCCTAGTTATTGAAGTAAAACTACTTCTTGCAGATTTTTAAATACTCGAGGAACTCTGTCATGAATATTGTGATAAGATAATAAGGTGGGGCGTTAACTTTATCATATTAACTGCAAGTAGTGTTCGGTGTATTTATCAACAATTATTATAAAAAAATATCCTCAAAGCCTAAATATCAACACGGTTGTTTTTTAGAATAAAATGGAGTAGCTCTAAAAGATGAGTAATGAGAGACTGGTGACCAACATATTTCTGTAGTAGATATTATACAGAAGTACTTTCAGACCCTGATTGCCATCAGGTTCACAGCTGTATTAAACTAACCTTTTATTACATTCATTGTGCTACCTACTGAGTTCAGACCAACAAAAAAAAAAAAAAAAACAAACCAAAGAACAACAACAACAACAAAACCTGGCTCACATCAGCTCTTACTCAGCTCAGCATTTTATCGGGAAAAAAAAAAAGTTCTTTTATTAAGACTACTCCATACAAAGATCAAATACCAACTATTTAGTTTCTTTTCTATATTAAACAAAAATTTGCCTTGGTATAGGCTGTGCAATAATATTCAGAGAGAAACCGAGACAACTTAGCCTCACATCGGGCGCGTATTGCTTGCTACTGCACAGTACCCTAATTACATATGTGCAAGGTCCATACACTTAACTCATCATAACATCTCTCTTGTGGGAAAGATGCACAGGTAGCCTGAAAACAGAGGCAAAGACAAGCAGCATGTGCCAGTACATTCAGAACTATGATCGACTGTATGTAAAAATTATTTAATGTACCCTTGAGCTGGAAGTTTTAATATTCAGAAATAAACAATTACAGAATCATAGAATTGTTTAGGTTGGAAAAGACCTTTAAGGTCATCAAGTCCAACCGTTAACCTAGCACTGCCAAGTCCACCACTAAACCATGTCCCTAAGTGCCACATCTACATGTCTTTTAAAAACCCCCCGGGAGGGGGACTCAACCACTTCCCTGGGCAGCCTGTTCCAGTGCCTGACTGCCCTGTGGGTGAAGGAGGCTAGGTTATACTATGTAACAGCACAACTTCACTACTCCTGGGTTCCAACGTAGTCAACAGAAGCTTTGTACGTATTTAAAATGAAACCTTAAGGCTAAAAACATTTTAAATTATTCCAGGTTACAACTTTGTTCTAGAGCAAACTAGGTATCAGAAGAGGCAAACAGGAAACTGAATATTACCATATTTCACACTTACTCGTTTACCTTACTGTTTTCCATTTAAGTAATCAAGCATAGCTGTTTGTATTTTTTCCAATCTAAAAGACTGTTTCATGCAAATCCCCCAAAAACAGATTCTGCTATAAAAATACCATTCAACAACAGTCACAAAGAAACATTTTTATGCTGTGGACTCCTATCTTACAGAAAAATTATTTTCAAAACTCTTGAAAAATTCTGCTATGTATTCAACCATGGCAGCTCGATCAGGCAACACTTTAATATAAATCAGAGTTACATAATACAAAATTTACCTATGATCTGCACAGACCACCCTACACATCGGGTCAGACCAAAACACTGCAAGGACTGAGGCTAGCTCGGAGCTCATTCCCGGCAGTTAATTCTCAATTCAAGCCCTTTCCCTGCACATGCTGCCAGCCATGTCAGAAGTAGGTCACTTGCCATATCTGGTAAGCCTGCGCTTACACCACCAGATGTCTTTATGCAGACATCAGAAAGTCTTAAAGTGTGCTCTGTGCCTCAGCGGCAAATCTTTAAAAGTCCAATACCTCACTCACCCCACATTAAGAGTCATGCCTAGATAAAAAGGCATGAAAACCTTTTTCCTTTTACTTCAGTTTACAGTAAAGACACCTAGTAATTTCACATACTCCAAAAATAACTTTGAAGTCAGACATTTGAAGACAAAACAATATCTCTTATATTAATCTGTGCTCTACTCAAGCAAAAACTGAGTTACAATTAACCACCTGCCATAAACTCATGAAATACCTCTACTCCAGAGAACATTTAATCAAAGCAAACAGAGGCAGCCCGTAACACAGACTAGAACAGCAAACTGGTTAGAAAACACCAACATACCACAGTAAGCCAGTTATTTTGCTGATTACAAAATCAGACATAGCCAGTATTTGCAACTACACATTTTCCATTTGTTCACAAAAAGGTTACGATTATACCTGTGTCGTCAGCCATAACATCAGTGCTCGATTTCCACAGACAGAGCGAGTGTGTCGGTATCTCCAAATTAATGTTGAAGGCAGAATAAGAAACGATTTATCCTCACTGTAGTCCTGCAACAGGAGCAAACAAATTTCCTAAAGCCAGCTCAGCTGGAACACGAAACTGAACCCAAGAGAAACCTCTCCTTCAAATCTATTTTTAGAGCAGTTATCCTCAGGAGCCAAACGCTTTTCAGAACTCATGGCAATCTAGTTCTGACGACAATGAAATTCACTTACTCCTCCTAACAGAGCATCCTGGGTAGTTGATCCTTTCCCCTCCCCTTAATCCTCCAACATCAAACACAGCAGGGAATGAAACCAAGCACATTGTACTGTAGTATTTTTGCCGCAATGTATGCCTCAGTGCCTGAGCTCTAAGGACATTAAATCCACCAGCATAAGCTGAAACACAAGTCTGGACACAAAGCTTGCCTGCTTGCATTTGTTAAGTTGGCGCTCGCCCAAGAAACTTTCTCCATGCTGGCAACCCTCTACCAGGCCTCCCGAGTATCCTGTAGAGACTGCTCATTTGAAACTTGCTAACTACTTTAAGAATCAAAGACAGCTAATTTCTAAAATGTAGGTTTGAGTCTCCTAAGAGTTACTTGAAATCAACCATGTGCATTCTTGCCAAAGGATTTTCAGATCTGAACTGTTCCCCTAGTACACCTCATATTTGCTTCTAGCAGACCCAAAGGAGGGTTACTGACAGTTTTGCCAAAGCAAAGCCTGTTTCCCTAGAGCACAAAATACCACATGCCATAAAGGTAAACCAGGCAAAATTTCTATTGCATACTTGTTAAAAGTAGTAGAGGTGGTGTTAAAAGCAGCAGAGGGATCTGGACAGGCTGGATCAATGGGCCGAGGCCAACTGTATGAGGTTCAACAAGGCGAAGTGCTGGGTCCTGCACTGGGGTCACAACAACCCAACGCTACAGGCTTGGGGAAGAGTGGCTGGAGAGCTGCCCAGAGGAAAAGGACCTGGGGGTGTTGGTCAACAGCCACCTGAATATGAGCCAGCAATATGCCCAGGTGGCCAAGAAGGCAAATAGCATCCTGGTTTGTATCAGAAATAGTGTGGCCAGCAGGACCAGGAAAGAGATTGACCCCCTGTACTGGGCACTGGTGAGGCCGCACCTCGAGTACTGTGTTGGGCCCCTCAGTACAAAAAGGATATTGAGGTGCTGGAGCATGTCCAAAGAAGGGCAAGGAAGCTGGTGAAGGGTCTAGAGCACAAGTCTTCTGAAGATCGCCTGAGGGAGCTGGGGTGGTTTAGCCTGGAGAAGAGGAGGCTGAGGGGAGACCTTATTGCTCTCTACAACTACCTGAAGGGAGGTTGTAGCGAGGTGGGGGTCGGTCTCTTCTCCCAAGTAACAAACGATAGGACGAGAGGAAATGGCCTCAAGCTGCGCCAGGGGAAGTTTAGGTTGGATATTAGGAAAAATTTCTTCACCAAAAGAGTTATCAAACATTGGAACAGGCTGCCCAGGGAAGTGGTTGAGTCCCCATCCCGGGAGGTATTTAAAAGACGGGTAAATGTGGTGCTTAGGGACATGGTTTAGTGGTGGACTTGGCAGTGTTAGATTAACGGTTGGACTTGATGATCTTAAAGGTCTTTTCCAACCTAAATGATTCTATGATTCTATGATTTTGCTTTGTTGCCCTCCCTTTCCAGAAAGGACTAACACTAACTCATCTCATTCACCTCTCCTTTAAATTCTGACAATAGTCACTCTACCTGTACAATTTAAAGCTAACAGAAATGATTAATGATCAACATACCCTCTTCTTCTTAAGGACCAGAAAAGGAGGAAAAAAAAACCCCACTAATATACTATTCAACTTATTTACATCTTCAATTTTAGCAAGCTATTCTTTTCCCACTGCATTTCAGACAAAAACCAGCTCCTTTTGTGTGGGAGGAAGACAGAAACAAACTCATGTCTCATTAACAGCAACCCTAATAAAAACTTTATGATCTAGCACTCAGCCCTTCCTCCCCCACGGTTCTTTAAATAACATAGCCATCAGGTAGATGGAGTGAACAGTGGAATGTTACAGCTACTTTGAAAAACAACATATACCTCCTGTGGTTTTAACATCCAGCAACTAACTCCCAAATGCACTTCCTAATAGCTCAAGGGAGAGAAAAGTGAGAAATAACACCGAACTGAGTTTAAGACTTTTCAAATGGACGTAAAGAAACTACAGGCAGTTGATTCTATAACTAGTGTATCTTTTAACTATTTTTAAAGCCATCAAACAGAACAGATGCTTTAAAAAAGACCTCCTGACTAGTACATTTCAGCAACTTATGTGATGCACAAGTGATTTAGAGCCAGACAGGAGGAAAATTTAAACAAAGGGTAAAAGTAACCAAATATACAGAGAAATCAACAGCTTATTATGGGAAATAATTGTACGGGCAATTATATGTAGTCTATTGCATATAAAACCTATATTGTTTTGACAGGCATTAAATTAGGCAATTTGTTGCAACTTCACTTTGGCTGCACCTGCATTTGCAGATACCAGATCTTACTACAAGTGGATTCACAGAGCATACAACATATGCATACATTCGTATGTTGGGGGGATTGCCCCAAACTAGATCTTACCTGGCTGACTGCCCATAAGCTGTTGCAGCATACCTTTCTGTTTCATTTCATTCAAACCTATGTAAGTATATTCAGGGACAACAGCACAATGAATAAAAGCAAGTGAGTGGAAACACTCAATAAAGTAATTTCAAATGTACACTCCCAATCTGAACTAACACACATATATTGACCTTTAACCAAGTACCCACAGCCTTATCTTGTGCCCTTTAAAAATCAATTGATTGCAAGAACAGGCATTCCCAAGAAATGACAAACATCTTTCTTCCTGAAAGGGAAGGCTACAGCTAAAATGAAGAAACTCTTCAGTCTCATCAAAGGAAGATGGACCAAAGGGCCACAAAACTGATCATACAGCCCATGAACACAGATTAATGCAGACCTTGAAAAATACAGCTTATACATATATCTTTCTGAGTGCTATAGTTCAAAATATGAGATGACATAATTTTGGTTAGTTTTGTGAAAAACAAAGGTTAAACTGAATAGTTATATATTTAAAATACAATTCAAGATTGGGGTAGCTAAGTCAACAGCGCAGACTTCTTGCGAGGTCTCATTCTACTGTGTTCAAATGCTCTGACTACAGGTTTGTCTGTTGGCTCTTTTTTGAACCAACTCAAATTGCTTCACTAACACTTAAAATTATTATTCTTCACCTCACTTGTGTAACTGTTTCAAATTTAAAAACTATTTTCAAGTTAGTTTTGCTACAACTGTGCACTCCATGCTATTTTAGTTAATTTTAGAAAAGCATAATTGACAATCAAGACTAGCAGAATTAATTCCACCTGTAGATCACTACTGAAGAGCTAGCAAAGAAGCTTGGGGAAAAAAATGTCAGCTATGAACACAAAAATAAAAGCAGGCTTCAAAGCACCAGGCTAAGCTTTTGTAATGTGTATAATTATTTCTCATAAAGGTGCATTAGGAAGCAATATGGAAGCCATTATGGATTATCACATGAAGAGAAGGGTGCACACCAGCAGGCAGTTACTAGAAATTAGAAAAGCACAGTGAAAGGGAAAACAAAACACTAACCTCAGAGAAATATCTAAAAACAGTATTTCAGAAATAAAAATTATCAATCAGCTAGATCACAGGGTGACTTTAGAACAAGCTCGTTTTAAAAGCAAAATGCAGAGCAATATAAAACAGATATGAGAGGGAAGTAAAAAACTAAAATAGGTTACAGTAGAACAGTCTTATCACCAATACAGCTGAACTAGTAGCAGTGCAAAGACAGAAAACAACCTCTGTTGTATGAGCATGGCCTACTACTGCTTGACATTTTTGCCAAATTTTCTTCTACAATACGATTAATGATAAAACAACAGTTGCAAGCCATTCTCAGTAATAAAATTGCAGTTAATTATTTTTAACAGTTTTTACACAAAGGTTTTTTGCGTAGGGTCAGTAACAAGTATTTTGAGTAAAATATCTATTAAAGGGAAGTTTAGGGCATTCTCTGTTGATACTATTTTCCCCTTCCCATTAAAATGAGCTTTTTTTTTTCCCCCCTTCTCAGAAAGAGACTAAAGTCCAGTTTTTCCCCTCCTTTCTAGGTAGGAAAAGGGACTCTGGACATAACTGGCCTATCATCATGCTCACTCTCAGCAAGCTGAATCTCTGTTTCACATTGGGTTGGAACAGTTTCAAAAACAAGAATTTAAAATATACACTCTCACTCCTGTTCATGCATACCCAATAAACAGCAGCTGCAGCACTGAAAGTCAACCAAACTTTTTCTTCTTCAAGAAGAAAATGGAATTAAATCTTTTGCTCCCCTATCTTGGGTGAGAGTTCCAATTACCAAAACATTGTACAGAAGTAAGAAACCACTCTTTCTCACCCTGTTCTACACAGAATCAGATCTGCAATCCTATTATCTGAAAATACGCTTCAAGTAAAATAGATACATGTAGAGTTTTTTCTTTCTTTATATTCAGTTTATAAAGAGAGATGGTCAATACTTTTAAAAGGTCAGCCCATTTCTGAATATAAGCTGTTACAGTTGAAAGTACTTTTAAGCCTAGAGATACCTTTCTGGTTCACAGGAAGCACCACAATGTTTAGAAGAGTGTTTTAGTTGCAAACAAAGGTGATTTGTTACTAAGAAGTGAGAATTAATTATTTTTCAGAAAAAAATACAACACAAAACAAGACTATCATCTGTCTGACTGATGTCAAGCCTCATTCCCAGTTTTTTTTTAAATTATTGTTCTTATGTAGTTAGTTTTATTCTCACTATAAACAGTGAACAAATCCTGGTTGCTTTCCATTTAAATGATTCTTCTAAGACACACATACACAGCAAAAATCAGAAAATTTCTTCAGAAGAAATCTACTCATA